AAAAAAAAAAAAAAAAAAAAAAACAAGGAACAAGGGAAATATGGCAGAAAGGAAACAAGGCTGAAATTTGGAAACAAAAAATGAATTATAAATGCGTTTGCCGGGAGTCGAACCCGGGTCTATTGCTTGGAAGGCAATTATCCTAACCGTTGGACTACAAACGCATGTTGATATCAATTTAGGGTAGATAAAAAATGTTCGTTTTTTTGTTTTTTTTGTTCTTTTTTTTTTTTTGGGGAACCGATTTTTTTATATTAATAAACAATATAAACACAAGGATTACAAACTACTATACATTTTGACAACTGAGTAAATCACTGAATGTAGCTTGATATGGTCAATGTTCTGCTCTTGCAAAAAAAAAAAAGAAAAGAAAAGAAAGAGAGCTCGACTCTTATCAGTGCTACTGCAAAAAATCGAACGTAGCTTGATAGTGTCAGTGATATGTTCTTGCAAAAAATCGAGCGTAGCTCCATAATGTCAATGCTCGACTCTGCGTTGCGACACTCTTGGCGCAATATGGAAATTGAATTGAATTGGCCTAATTATTTTGGGCATATTCTGATTTGCGCTCGGCCCGTTGAGCCGATGATGATCAGACTGAATAAGTTGTCGACCTTCTTGTAAACATGAGCTAAATCATTTCATAAAATCTTGCCCATAAGCTCATTTACCAAAAATAGCTCGCTCACCATCGGAATTATATGACCGGCTGTTGGAATATCACTTGTGAGTGTCCCACATTGATTCTATAGGGAAAATGAGTCTAGTATATAAGCCTAGTGGGCTACTCCTCCTATCACCAATTGGTTTTGGGATGGAACCTCATTAAGGTGCATCTAGGCTCACCCTCTTATGGTGCGCCTTCATCTGGTGGGACCGCACTCTCTCCCCCGTTTCTATTATGGTATCAGAGCGGGCCTGTCCTAGGACCTGCAATGACTATCTCTACCCGGCTTGCTCTGGACTTGGGCTTATCTCTCTACCCGGTCTGCTATGTGGGTTTGGGCTTACGAAGGACTCACAAGTGAGGGGGCGTGTTGGAATATCACTTGTGAGTGTCCCACATTGATTCTATAGAGAAAATGAATCTAGTATATAAGCCTAGTGGGCTACTCCTCCTATCACCAATTGGTTTTGGGATGGAACCTCACTAAGGTGCATCTAGGCTCACCCTCTTATGGTGCGCCTTCATCTGGTGGGACCGCACTCTCTCCCCCGTTTCTAATACCGGCCGATCTACCAGAAACGATAGTATTTTTTTATATAATTAAAAATTTTATTTTCATTTTTTAACCAATTAAAACTATAATATATTTTTCTCTAATTCAATTTTTGAGTGTCAGTATTAATAATTCAACTTTTTATTGGTCATTATAGAAATTGAATGAAGGGAAGACCTCCTAATAAGCAATTGAGCATGCAGTAATTAACCATCAAGGTAATTAAGTAGAGTAAATTCCATGTAGCAATGTTGATTACTCAAGATATTCTCATCTCATACCAAGAGCGCTTGGATGAGATGGCTTGTATCTCTTCCAACTTAATCAGTGGTCTCGTGTTCGAGCCCTGGGAATGCAGCAGTGTTAAAAACTCTTGAGGGAGAGCTTTGCCGCCCTTGTGGTCCTACCCGGCTCGATTCCGGATTAATCGGTTCCCCTGTGGATCTGAAAACCGGAAGGTCCATGTACCCAAAAAAAAAGATATTCTCATGTTTGTTTAAAAGAAATATCCAATTTTTATCATTGTCATTTTTTTGCCTTTTTTAATTCTATTATTTTATAAAAAAAAAAATTACGTTTATTTAATGCATTTTCCATTGTTAATATTCTTTCCACTATAATTAAATCATGCAAGTTGAATTGATATTTTCTATTTTTTTAACATTTGTGTGACATAAATAAAGACAAAAATGCACTAATTAATAACATTGACTATTTCAAATTTCTTTATATATTCATATAATTTATTTATTATTGAGAAACATATATTATATTATTGTAGATTATTCAGATTCTTTGTTTTGAAGAAACTAAAATAGCAGATTATTTTATATTTTTTAATATATTTCTTAAATTAGTTATATTATATATCCTGAAGTTTAATATTTTTTTTTGTAGCCAGTCACGGTATCCGTTTATCAACTCGGGTCGCACACCTGCAGTGGTGGGTGAGTCTCCCAACAAAAATTTTCCTGACATTTTTTTTATTTAGTCAAATGGAGAAAAAAATAAATAAATTGCAAAATATTGAAAAACTGCATGCAAGTAGCACAAGATTCTTTCCCTTAGAATTTTGACCTTTCTAGTGGTCTTTTTCGAAATCGAATGAGAAGAAGAAAGCGAATGAGCACTCGAGCAAATAGTAATTCTATAATTTTACCCCAACAGACAAAACTGAGATGAAAAAGTGAAAAAAAAAAAATATATATATGTTTTTCAATAAAAATAATGTGAAAAATTCTATAATGAAAACGAAATACATAATTAGATGAGTGAATTAATAGCGTGTTCTATTGGAAATACATCAACATTTTAACTAAAAAAGAAAGAGATCAATTGTGGTACATAAGATTAAAACTCATGTTTACCGAACAATATTCACGGTGTATCTGAATGTATTTGCCGAGTTTGAGAGAAAAAACCTTGAGCTTTGATAGACTTAAGGTAAGTGATTACCCAAATGCAAGCGACTTGTGGTTGTCCTTGTTGTCTTTTCATTTGCGAGTGAGGAACCGAGTATATGGTTGTCCACTGCGCTTTTGTTTGTTGAACTACAATTTTGATATATAAATTTACATTTACCGATCAAAAAAAAAAAAAGAGAGAAGCAAATTGTAATTTTTGCAAAAATATTTTGTTTATATTTTATATTTCAATTAGATAAATAGAGACGAAAAAATGTTTTTTTTTTTTTAATCAAAATCAAAGATCTTGGTTTCCCAAAATATTCCTCATGTATCTATATATATAAAGAGAGAACTTATTTACCAAAAAATATTAATAAAAAAAGTCAACCAACATTTATTGCATTCTGTTTTTGGCAGTTTTTGAATTTTATTCTAAAATAATTCCCAAAAATCAATCAACTATATATTTACCCTAAATTCATGGGTTTTGTGGATTTAATTTATGTAAATTTCGATTGATGCATACAATTTTGCAAAAGTCAAATTTTTTCTCATTTTTTTTATATATAAAAATTGATTACCATAAAATTGGGAATTTCAAATTAGGCAAAATACTATCACATATATCTTTTCCTAATTGCAACCGATCAATTGTTTATTAAAAACATCGAATTTCATAAAAATCGGCGTTAATTTAGGCAAAATTCGGCACGACAATTTTGTAAAAGTCAAAATTCTCCTTTTTTATATAAAAAAAATTGTTTACCATCAAATCGGGAATTCGAATTATACAACATACTATAACATGTATCTTTACCTAATTGCAACATATCATATTTATTAAAAAAAAATCGAAATCCATAGGCCCAATTTCAAATTGAAAATTAAAATTTAAAGATTCATTGCCATTTGACTACTACTTATAGTTTGGATTTTTTTAAACATAAAACATAGTCATATAAGATTAATTTAAAATTCAAAATGAAATCGGTTTTGTTTAATCCTCTAGAATACAAACTTGAAATGGATTGCATATACTTACACAAATTTTCCCTTTCTTACATTAAGTAATTTATAATTTTGAAATAATAAAGCTTACAATCTCCGTTATATATCACTAAAAACAACAACAACATACCCAGTATATTCCCAATTGGTTGGGGTCTGGGGGTCAGTTGTACGCAGACCTTACCCTTGTAATTATACAAGGAGGCTGTTTCCGTAGCGACCCTCCGTTATATATGACTATCTTCATAAAATCAATATAAATCATATCATATATATCATGCTAAATAATATAATTGTTTTATTTAAACTTATCCAGAATACTAATATAACTAGTACAACACCCGTGTATTACACGGGTGCTTTTTTCTTAAAATCTAAAATTAATGAGAAAAAGTAGTTTGAATATTTAAATACCTTTTATAAGAATATATATTATTATATATTTATTATGACACTTTTTATTTGTGCGACTTACATGTGTTATCTTATACTAATTTTTTTAACTTACAATATACAACTACATTAAATATAAATATATCAATTGAGAAATAATTTTATTTTTCTAATGAATTTTAATAAATATTACTACCTCCTATTTTTAATCTATGTCGTTTTGAGAAGTTGCACACTAATTAAGAATATTTTTTTTGTCAATAATAACCTTATTTATTGAAGATAGAGATGACTGTTTTGAGAAAAAGTGAAGAGTGAATATGAAAAGACGTAAAGTATTTATTAGTTAAATGAGGGTAATAATGGAAAAATATGTACAAAATATCCAAAACAACATTTATTTGGCAAATAGTTGAAAAAGCTAGAATGACATTTTAAAAAAAATAGGAGGGAGTATTATTTTTTATTATTATAAAGGTAAATATAATTTATTTATTCCATATATACAATATGGATGTCAAATCAAAGATCATCTAAAGATGGTTAGTTTGATATATTATATATGTAAAACCGATAAGAAATACAAAAGTTATCAACTTTTAAAATACATTTATAATTCAATAGCTTATTGAAGGAAACAAATCAAAATTCAGAGATATATTAGTCACTTAATGTTTCACTATATAAAATTACAAAGAGTTAAAGGGTTATATTGATACAAGTGATATTAAAATACCTAAGTTAGCTAAATAATATTTATGGAATACCCGAACCTAGATTATTAATTATTAATATATCAATATTATTCAAACCTAATTACGAAGCATAATTCTTCGCCAAGTAGGATTCCGAAGCACCAGAAGCAGCCACGTAGGCTCTGCGCATTCAGGAATTATATATAGGGAGGATTTGGCGATAGACGATGTACCAAAGACCAAACAAATAATGTTGTGTGTAAGATGTGTTTATTAATCAATAAGTTACATTTTGTTTTATTCCAATACATGCGTTTTACGTTTTTACAATCATCCAATTATCCAAATCTAAATTCTTACCTTAATAAAAGTTGTTCGTGCACGGGCTACTGGTAGCACTAGTATATATTTATCCACAATGCCACGATGAAACACTAGTATATATATTTATTTAAACCTATCCAGAATTTAATATAATTTGTGACGAGACGATCTACCAAAGACCAAACAAAAAATGTTATGTGTAAGATGTGTTTATTAATATATAAGATTTATACATTTTGTTTTATTCAAATACATGCTGATGGGTCTCCTCTCAGATCTGGAGTGAACTGATAGAAACCCGTCCAGATCTGGAATGAACCGATAGAAATGAGCTCCGATCTGACTCGATAGCCTTCAAATCGTTGTTGAACCACGAGAAAACCTGCAAGAACTCAACGCCGGAGGGGTTTCCGGCGTAGAGCCTCCGACGCTCAAGTCAGTATATAGGAGGTGAAGAGAGCTACTCTGAGAGAGTAGCAGCAGTAATGGAAAAAAGTATGGAATGAATGAGAGTTAGGGTTTTGGGGTTACCTCCGCTCATTTATATAGAAGTAAAACCTTTACCTGGAATCCCCAAATTGCCCTGGCCGACTTACTGGAAATGTCCAGAACACCCCGGTCGGTTCGCATTCCGCTCATATCCTAGTCAGCATTTAGATTCCTTCTTATCCTTTAATAGCCTCCCTCTGAATGTTGAAGTGTATAGGAGTCGTCAGGGATCCATGAGCCTCAATACTACTTCAGTCGACTCGAGATATCCACTCGAGCCGACTAGGTCATTCCCCAATCGCTGGTAAACCCTAATGCGCTTATTCATCCTTCTGGATGGAATCGGCTTAGGCTAGTCGACATGGTAGAAGTCGACTAAGAAAAGTATCCGGACCCTTGACAGAATATATTATCACGAGGAGATATGTGGGTGGAGTCGACTTCGGGTAAGTCGACTCGGCAATGTTCGAACCGGGACAACATAGACCGCTATACGATAGTATGGCTATATCACATGCGTTTTACGTTTTGCAATCATCCAATCATCCAAATTTAAATTCTTACCTTAACACAGGTACCACACTAGTATATATTTATCCACAATGCCACGATGAAACCTTTAGAAATAAATTATTTAAAAAATTAATAACAATTTTGTTATATATGCATGGAACATATAATAATTAATATTTAATAATTAAATATTTAGATATAGTTAAGTTATAAATTTTCATGATTGTAATATTTAATAAATTGTTAATTATATTCCTCACTTTTTTATGACACATGTGTTTATTTTTATTTAACAAAACATTCTCACTTTTATGGAGCTTGTTGAAAACGTATTTTTTACGTAGTTTTATTTTATTATTTGTTTTGCTTTTCTGATTTTTTTTATGTGTATTTATATATATTTATATTAGTTGTTTTATATATAGTATAATATAATTGTTATTTGGTTTCCTTGTTATTTGATAAAAAGTCTTCTACTTGTAATATGATTCCTATTAGAAAAGAAAGAGATAAAAGAAAAGGAGATTTGGCAAATCAAGATCAGAGGTGTCTTGGACGTGAGGAAATAGTGGGTAAGCAATATATTTTTGGTGGGCAGCATTCACATTTGTTGGTTGAGGAAGCATTTGTGAAAAAAAAGAAGCATATTGAAACATTATATTTTTATTGGTTCTTGGAAGCATCAGTCGGGGCCGTCCGTGGAGTTACAAAGAAGAGACTGACTTCTTTAGTTTTACACAAAAGATTTATCGGGCTTGCTTTCTTTTATGTCTTGTGTCCAACTCGTTTTTTATTTCTTATTGTTCACTAGATGTTTTGGAATTGGACAAAAAAACTTTGTGATTATTTTGTTTTAGTAAAATTTTGGCATGAGGCCTTAGTCTACAAGTATTTGAACTTTGTAGGCTAAATTTTGAATCATTCGTATTTAGTTAATTTTCCGCTGTGTATTTTAATTCTTGTTTTTCGTGTGAATCTGGGATATTTACGTACCTATAATTCTAACAGAGCTTCCACTGTAGACATGCATAAATATATGCTGCATAAACTCAAGAGTCTATATATATTTGCATAAGGTGCACCACAAAGGACACCAATTAATACTAAAAGACACCACTAAGAAGCTATTTTACAGTAAATAACCCTCTTTTATTTTTCTATTTTTCTTACTTTCCTCCTTAACTGTCAGTATTATTTTTTTATATTCAAACATATATATATATATATATATATATATTTAAACTTTAATCAAATTCATTTTTTTTTTTCCAAATGTGTGCCACATTTGTTCATTCTGATTTTAATTTTATTAACTATTATTTTTTGTTCTGTTGAAAATTTGACAGAAAAATGAGTGGAGAAGTACAGAAATATTGGGTGTGCATTTTGGTTTGTGTGCTGATATTATTGAAAAAAACTGAAAGCTACTCTGTTGACATTACATATGTTGAAAGTGCTGTGGAAAAAGGAGGAGGTATTAAAAAAAAAATAAATAAATAAATAATTAATGAAGCTAGCTAGCTTTGTGTAGATATTTATTTATTTACTTTTTTACAAGTGAATTATTATTATTACTTTTTTTTTCTTATTTTTTGGGTATATAATTTTACAGTTTGTTTGGATGGAAGCCCACCTGCATATCATCTTGATAAAGGATTTGGAGAAGGAATTGACAATTGGTTAGTTCATTTTGAGGTAATTGGTTCATATCATCCCATGATTTTGAATTTGCTTCACTATTAGGGTATTTCGATTCGACTTTGATCGTTAATTCGTCATAGACTAATTGTACTAATATCGATACTCAGCTGGTGGATATATTAACTCGTGGGACTGCATTTTTTGCTACATACATACAAAAATCTATAAATGTATATATGTAATATCATCATCCTTAAATGAAAATGATGAGATTCAACATAATTCATGTGAGGTATATTTTTTTTTTTTTTTTTGGTCATGCAACTGAAAATAAGGGAGGAGCATGGTGCAATAGTGTAGCGACTTGTCTCGCTCGGAAAGATACCCGACTCGGCTCTTCCAAACTAATGGCGAAACAGGTTGTTTTTTCCGGGATTTTTAGCAACAATAAGGAGCTTAACCCTGGTATATACTCACTCTCCATTTTTACTTGCATGATCATGTGTGTGTGTGTGTGGGTGTGTGTGTAGATAATTAATGCAACTATTTAAAAAAAAAAAATGTGTTGTTCAATACACTTTCGACCGACTTGCAGATTTTTACAATTGGAATCGAGTCAAGGTTCGATATTGTGATGGCTCGTCGTTCACGGGCGACATAGAAGAAGTTGACCCTGTAAGCCTTATTTGGCTTATACTATATATACAATTAGTCCATTAATTATCATGTTCGTTCGATTAATAAATTCTACATATATATCAAATCGCTCGTGAAACTTTTGACCAATCGCCATTTGGTTTGACCAGGAAACGGGACTTTACTACCGTGGAGCAAGGGTCTTTGCGGCAGTAATGGAGGATCTATTTGCGCAAGGAATGTCGAACGCTCAAAACGTACGATAAAAACATATATTTTTTTAATTTTCTAATTTTTTTGTTGTCTTTTGCATTTCAAGAACTATAATGCTTGTAACCAAAAAACTATCTTCACTACTTGCTTTCTTATATATATATATATATATGTTTATAGGCAGTCCTATCCGGATGCTCGGCTGGGGGGTTAACATCGATTCTTCATTGTGATAACTTCTCGGCTCTTTTTCCTTCCGACACGAAAGTCAAATGCGTTGCTGATGCCGGTTTCTTTCTTGACGCGTAACTTTTCGTGCAGAGCTTAGTCGCTTTCAATAAGTTCCCTTTCATTTTTTTCACCTCATACGAAATATCTGTAACAGGGAAGATATCTCGGGTGCTTTTCGTATCGAAGATTTCTTCGGCGGTGTTGCCACGACGCATGTAACATTTCGACACAGATTGAATTAATTTTTGGTTGTGTAACCGTATTTTTTTTTTCTTGTTTAGTTTATTAATTTCCTCTGTGATTGTTAAGTTCTCTTGGTTTAATGGACACAACAGGGGTCGGAACAGAATTTACCGCAACCGTGCACATCTAAAATGAGGCCGAGCCTGGTTCGGAGCAATTTTTTTCGACCAGATTGTCTTCATTTTATCCTTAATTTACAAACTATATATTCATTTTTTATTTTATTTTTTCATGTTATACAATTTTTTTGCAGTGTTTTTTCCCACAAAATGTGGTGCAAGACATTAAGACACCACTTTTCATTGTAAATGCTGCTTATGATTCATGGCAGGTCAGAAACAGACACACACACACCTTTGACAAATCAAAATTTGAGTTGAATTAAATTAATTGGTTAGGTTAACTTATTACTACTTAATTTATTGTTTTAATTTTACCAGATTAAGAACATCTTGGCATCTGGAGCAGCTGATCCACATGGCAAGTGGCACAATTGCAAGGTTATGATAACCAGATGTTCGCCGGATCAACTCGAGATCTTGCAAAGTTAGTTCCGTTTCGTTTTGTCGAAAAAAAAACTTCTAGTCGAACGAGTGTTTTTTGCACCGAGTTATATGTTGCATTGTATAGTTTTTTCTTGATGCCAAATATGATTATGAATGTTTTTTTTTCTATTTTTTTTTTTATTTTTTATTTTCAGGCTACAGATTACAGTTCATAAACGCATTAACGAACTCTTTAAATTCGTCCAAGTCGGCAGGATACTTCATCAACTCTTGCTACGCGCACTGCCAAACCGAAACACAAGAAACGTGGCTTCGTTATGACTCTCCTCTGTTGAACCAAACGGTCATAAATCGAACTTTCGAACTATAATATTATCCGTTTTTCGTAATTGTAACTTTCGAACTAAAATAAATAATCTACTTTTTTTTGTTTTGTTTTGTTTCTTTCGTATGGTTTTGCTGTGTGCAGACGATAGCTAAAGCAGTCGGAGATTGGTATTACGACCGGAGTCCGTTTGAGAGTATCGATTGCCCGTATCCTTGCGACAAAACGTGCCACAATCGGGTTTATGAGCCTTGAGTAATGTAGAATCAATACATTGCAAAATGAAGAGATTGCTGTATGGTGTTATACAAATGTGTATTATCAAGGTTTTTAAATAAACAGTATGAAAAAAGAGTAAGGAAATAAGGTCCAATAAAGTGGTATAGTCTCCACATGAATAAATGGGTTTTCTTTAACATATCATGTGTTCTATATTCCCCTGTTTCAGTTTTGGTCCAATATAAAAATTGAATTGGGCTAATTATTTTGGACATATTCCTATTTGGGCTCGGCCCGTTGAACCGATGATGATCTGATCTAAGACGAACAAGGATATAGTGTTTTTTTTTTTATAATTTTTTTTTATATATACATTTCTGAACCAATTAAAAATATATTTTATTTTTCACATTCAATATTTTAGTAATGGTATACTAAGTCACTTTTTTATTGGTCACTCGTAACTGGTCTTGTGCACATGCACATGTATAAATTTATGAAGTATTATAAATTATATGCATATATAATATTAAAATTTAAAAATATAAAATAGATAATGTATATATATCATATTTTATAAACTTGATTATTAATAAATAAACAATATACTATACGTATAAATCATTTAACTACACATGAATATGTATATTAATGTAATACACATACATCACAATTTTTTTTGTTTGAGTGCGTAAAATGTAATACATACTTTTTGTTACTTTGAGAATATGACCAATTAATACCATGACAAATATTAAAAAAAAAATAGTATTTATAAGTATTAGAAATTGTTTGAGGGATTTTCATGCTATTCAATTAATTATATGATTGCAAAACTAATGTTACTTTCAGAATAAGTAGCTTGAAATTAAAAATAATTGTATAATTGTTTATGGATATGTAATTTATATATATCATTTAATGTAAATTGTAACCAGTTGATTTCAGTAATAACTATTGTATTATTGATTAATTAATACAATAATGATACTTAATAGCATAAAATATATCGGTTTTACCATGATAATTAAAAATTTGAACAGGAAAAAATTGTTATTTGCATTAATTGGATAGCCTGAAATTATATATCTATATATAATAATTGAGCATGGTTGTAGAGATTGAATGAGGAGAAGACTTAATGAGCAATTGAGCATGCATCGACCATCAAGGTAATTAAGTATAGTAAACTAGTACAACACCTGTGTATTACACGATGCCTGCTAATTTTTTTTTTTCTTAAAATTTAAAATTAATGAGAAAAAGTTGTTGAAAATTTAAATATTTTTTTATAAAAAATACATATTATTATATATTTTAGTATGTCACTTGTTACTTGTAGGGCTTACTTGTGTTATATTATAATAATTTTTCTAACTTAGGGTTTGCTCTATTTAAATGAGTTGTCCAGACGCGTAGGGCATTAATGGTACGCGTGTCGGCATTTAAGCTTGTGCTGAACATTTTTTTTAAACATTGGGCTCATTTATGTGTAGCTATTTTTGTTTTGATCCATTGGGCTCATTTATTTAAATTTATAAGAGCCCAGATACTTAGCAATATGATAATGAAGACCCAGATGTTCTCCAACAACTTGTATTGTGTTTATACTTTAATAATTTCTGGCCCATTTATGTTTATAACATGATATATAGTACACATATAATTATTACAAATATTGACTCAAAATCTAAGTTGTAGTACTAAATTTTTTTCATCTAAACAAGTAAAAATATTACATGTATGTATCTATACAAAACTCTTATATTATAAACTTCAAATATTTTGTCTTATTGTTTGTTCAAGTTTATTATTTCACAAATTTATATAATATGAAGTTTGACATAATTAAATTTACAGCTGTTGTAACTTAAATTCAACTATATTTATTTAATTATTGCAGGTTCATTATCGAATTTGTCTACGGTAACACCTTCGTTCCAAACAACAACGGCTCCTACTAATGTGTGTTCTATCATTCAAAAAATCGGTATGATTATATTTTCTGATTTGTTGTAAAACTTTTAGAAATGATAATTGTTTGTGTCATTACAAGAAATATTGTTAATGATATGTTGAATTTTAACCCGTGCAATCTTATATAAACTTTCATTTTAACTGGTGCCAGAGCTGGTGACAAGGTTCTTATTCCTAGGCTGACAATCATACCATTCGATTTGAGGGTACCGTTCAAATTTCAACGCAGGCAATTTCCGCTCATGGTTTTATATGCGATGATTATCAACAAGAGTCAAGGCCAGTCACTTTCACACGTCGGCTTACTATTGAAGAACCCTGTATTCAGTCATGGACAGTTGTATGTGGCACTATCTAGAGTCACGAATCGGAGGGGTCTGAAGATAATGATCTGTGGTGATGAAAATTTTGACGATAGGAAAACCACGAACGTTGTATATAAAGAAGTGTTTAATAATATTTAGATTTAAATTTAGATTTTTGTTGTTGAGCCCGAGTTATCAATGGCCATGTTATTATTTTTACTATTTTTTTCTTTTTTTTTTTTTTCCTTTATCATATAGCTTTCCGTGCAAATGCACGGGTTAAAAACTAGTATATATATAATAATTGAGCATGGTTGTAGAGATTGAATGAGGAGAAGACCTAATGAGCAATTGAGCATGCATTGACCATCAAGGTAATTAAGTATAGTAAACTAGTACAACACCCGTGTATTACATGATGCTTGCTAATTTTTTTTTCCTAAAATTTAAAATTAATGAGAAAAAGTTGTTGAAAATTTAAATATTTTTTTTATAAAAAATACATATTATTATATATTTTAGTATGACACTTGTTACTTGTAGGACTTACTTGTGTTATATTATAATAATTTTTCTAACTTATAACATATAACTACATTAAACATAAATATATTAATCATCAAAGGATGATTAATTTAATATATTATATATGTAAAATCAATAAAAATATAAAAGTTATCAACTTTTAAAATACATCTACAATTCACTGGAATATGAAATTATTTTAAAATACAATTAATAATCTAAAATGATCATAAATAAATCAACATATTTATGATAATCCGGACCTAATTATTTTTTAATTGGAATTAAATATAATATAAATGTTCCCCTACCCACGGTGGGCACATGTTAATATACCCACCGCGTAGGTGGCATGCATTCATTGGTGATGTTTATATGTTTAAAAAAAATATATCACCAATGAGTGCATGTCACCTAAAGCATAGGATCCTAAAGCATGCGAGTCTGCCACTTAGGATCCTAAAGCATGTGAGTCTGCCAAGCAAAATAATGAAACATGAAATTTTGACACATAGGATCCTAAAGCATGCGAGTCTGCCACTTAAGCTCAACACATTCGAGAATTATATATAGAGGAGATTACAGATATTCATGTAAAGAAAAATCATTTACAGGCTAGCTAGATAGAGTAAATTCCGTATGGCAATGTTGATTATGCAAGATATTCTCATTTTTATCCAATAGAAATCCAACTTTATTGGTTTTTTTTTTTTTGCCTTATTTTATTGAAAAATGACATAAATAAAGACAAAAAATGCACTAATAATGTCGACTTCATTTTTTTTTATATTAATACTCTAGTACAACGCCCGTGTATTACACGGGTGCTTGCTAATTTTTTCCTTAAAATCTGAAATTATTGAGAAAAAGTAGTTGGAAATTTAAATAACTTTTATAAAAATATATATTATTATATATTTAGTATGACACTTTTATTTATGTGACATACTTGTGTTATATTATAATAATTTTTTAACTTACAACATATAACTACATTAAACAAAAATATATCAACTGAGAAATAATTTTATTTTTCTAATAAAATTTAATAAATATGATTTTTATTATTATAAAGGTAAATATAATTTGTTTATTTTATATATACAATATGGATGTCAAATCGAAGATCATGAAAAGATGATTAATTTGATATATTATATATGTAAAACCGATAAGAAATACAAAAGTTATCAACTTTTAAA